CTTAGGGGTAAGTTTCGCTTTCCTAGAAGAATAAGCCATTTCAGAGTTTAAAAAGTGAGATAATGCCACTGCGCCAGGGAACTGGATGGTGCCGGCAAGAGAGTAGTGGCCCTGCCTTGGGGTCCTGCTGGTCTTTTTCATGGGACTTCCCACCTCATAAGAACAGTTCCCACCCCACTCCCCACCCAGAAACAACTAAGGAAGCAAGCGTAACCAAATAGGTTTCGCGCACAGCAGAGCTTAACAAGCAGTGGTGAGGTGGCTGGGACCCGGTGCCCACCGTGCGGCTGTGTGAGCCCCACCACGTGGTGGCTGCTAGCACTGCCTCCATCGCTGATGGAAAGGAGACTGCATTCGGCTCACAGACGATCACATAGGAGTGTCCGTGCACAAGCAGGTCAAAGAGGTCTGGATATCAAACCTTTATTTCGTTGGAGCCCAAGGAGCCTCGCCATTCACTTTAAGATGGGGCTGCCCAGCTGTAACAGGCTTTAGTGAAAACCCAGGACCACATTTTCCCCAAAAGGCCCGTAAATAGGGTTTGGTTTCTGGGCTAGCCCACCACTGGACTCGGATACAGGGAGGAAATGAACACCTTTGGCTTTGCTGATTGCAACTCCCGCTCTACACCGCAGCCACGCACGTGGAGTTGGAGAGTGGTGGCGAGCATGGCATCCGCTGGGACCAATCGGAGCAGACAGGGCCAGCCAAGAGAAGCTGGGATAACTTACATTTATTCAACAAATATATGCTGTGGTTGAATGCAAGCTCTGTCATCAGACAGCCTGTGTTTTAACCCTCGCTCTGCCACTTACTAGCTGTGTGACCTTAGGCAAGTTACTTAGTTTCTCCGGGCCTTGATTTTTTTCATCTATAAAATGGGAATATGAATAGTACGTACCTCTTGGGGCAACTGTGTTGATTAGACAGATTCGTATATAACAAGAGCCTAGGACGTGGCCTGGCACAAAGAAGCACCTGATAAACATTAGAAGTTTTTATTCCTATGAGCCAGCTTGTGCTTGGCCCAAGAGATGGCACTGTGAACGAAACAGACGTGGTGTTCTCCGGCAGCTTCCAGGGAACTAGGCTTTTATCAGATAATCACATGCGCGTTGGAGAAGAGCACAGTGTTCTGAGATCACAGAACGGGGCAGGGTGGTCAGGGCGGGCTTTTCCTGAGGAAGTGGCATATGAACTGGGTCGGAAGAGTGAGGAGGGGCTACCCTGGGGCTGACGGAACCACACATCCAAAGGCCCTGTATCGGGAGGAAACATAAGAAGGAGCTGAAGCAGAAAACCAGGGGGCATGAGAATGAGATGAGGCTGGAAAGGGAGAGGAGGGAGTGAGGGCATTGCCGGCCATGTTGGAGATTTGAGTCTTTATTCCTTTTTTTTATAAAAATATATTTTTATTGAAGTATAGTCAGTTTATAATGTTGTGTCAACTTCTGGTGTACAGCACAGTGCTTCAGTCATATAGGAACACAACATGTATTTGTTTTCCTATTCTTTTTCACCGCAAGCTACTACAAGATTTTGAATATAGTTCCCTGAGCGCCAGCGTCCTCCCCTCCACACAGGCTGCTCTGAGCCCAGGAGCTGATAGATGTGGGGGTCTGGCGCCTAGCAGAGCCCAAGGAGATGTTAAGTGTTTGTATCGCAAGGCTTTGCAGGCAGGGAAACTGAGGCTCCGAAGAAGTGACTTGCCTAAGGTCACATAGGTTGTAAAAGGTCACTTATCAGGTCCCTGGTCTTGTGAGTTGTCCCCCACCCCCAGGGCACTGCTCCGGCAGAGATATAAGGGGCCGGGGCCGGAGGTGGGTCTGTGGCAGAATTACCTTTTTCCCAGGCTGCACCCGTCTCCTGAGAAGCAGCTTGTGGCTGCATCGGGGCCAGGGAGGAAAAGAGGCATCTGGGGGATGCGGGGCTCTGCTTCTGCTTGCTCCGAACCCCCCTGGCCGGTACCCTTATCCCAGGGCTGCAGTTGAGGCTCACAGCCTCCAAAACCCCATTCAGAATTGAACAAATAACCAGCTCGCCTGGCCCTATGACCTGGAAGGGGCTGGTCTCCACTGGAGGGCGACCAACTCATGCCGGTTTACCCAGAGCTGACCCAGTTTTAGTCCTGAAGTGTTCAGCATCCCAGGAAGGCCTGTCCCACGCAGGCCAGGATTCTAGGTCGCCCTCGGTGTAAATTGAGCTGGACTCTCACTGGGTCTTTCCTGCTGCAAAGTCAGGGCTGCTCCCCTCCCCACCCCGACAGGTGGGCGATGGCACCCTGTGTCTCTCTGACTTGACCACCAACATCCTCCTCAGTTTTTGGAGAACCTTCCATCTTTGGAGACTTCCTGTTCTACAGGTAGAGGACCAAGGCCTGGATCAGGGAAGGTGCCCCAGGGTCACACAGGTCCCTAACCCCTGGCCAAGCCCTCTACCCTCGTCCTCTGCATCTTCACCTGTGTCAGCCTCACACCTGTGGGCTGGTGATGGGCTCTGGTTCAGGGTGAGCTGGGTTCCAGGGTGCTCACCGGGACAGATCCTAGCAGAGGGACAGCCCTTCATTTAATGTGCTTGTGACCCCAGGCTAGAAGCAACTTATCTGGAATGATTCTGATGGGGAGTGGCCCTCTTCCCCGCCCCACTGGCCCTGAGGGCTGGCTATCCCCACACCTGCTGGGGAGGAGTGGGAAGCTCTGAGTCTCTCTTCCTCTCTGGGGGCTTCAGTGTCCCTTTGTGTACAGACTGGATGAGCTAGGGGCCCCTTCCAGCTGCAGCTTCCAGGTGCTGTCATGTGAACACCCGCTGGGGCTCTGATTTCAGTTTTAAACAACCTGTGTGCACGGCAGGATGTGAATCTCTATTTGCCTGTGTCCTGAGCCCCACCTTGGGCAAAGCCACAGGCCAGATCCTGGGAGATGCCCCTTGAATTCATGGAGAATCTGTGCACGGCCAGGCCTCTCGCCTTGTCCCCGGGATGTCTTCCTGCTGCCCTGCCCACCCTGCTCTTCTGAAGTACCACTTTCCCGTGGCAGAGTCTCCTGACAGCTCCCTCCCCAACCCAGGGCCCAGGGTTAGGGGCCCCTCCCGGGCTCTATCCTATTGTTCTTTTTATGTGTTTACTTTACTTGCTGGCTTCCCCACCAGGTGAGGAGCTACAGGAATTACCTGCCTTAGAATCTCAGAGCTGGGGGGTCAGAGTCGGCTAAATGAGCTGATTAGGAGGGAGAAATAAGACAAGCAGGACTCGCCCTCGTGGAATTTGAAGTCTGCCTCCGCAGAGAGGGTTCTGGATGGCAGCGAAAAGGATCACTTGTGCACCCTAGAGAAATTGTTTGGATCACAAAAGAGTTGCTCCATTGGATTTGCAAAGCTCATGAAGGTCTGTGTTTTGTGACCCCCATCCCACCCCCCAGCCACTTCCTTCTTGGCCAAGAATCAAGAACCCTCCTCCTTCGCATCTGGTCACTCCATCCCTTCCAGGGTGGGGTCCCCTCTCACCCCGACTCTCTGTCCCCGCGCAGTAATGCTGTGGTCTTTCCAGGCTTGGGCCCCTCAACCCCCCCTCCCCAGAGAGCATCCATGTGGTTCTAGGTGTTCTTGTGGTTATAGGAACTCAAGAGTGACCTTAGGCTCTGCGGGACTCTGTCTCTCACTACCCACCCAGTCTTGATCAATGTTGTCCCCGAAGCTGTCACAAACAAGGCGGTGTGGCCTATCACGTGGCCCTGTCTGAGTAACCACATTCTCGCTTCCTTCTTTGACACACAGCAGTTGGGGGTTGATGCAGTCTGAGCCCAGGGCACGGGTGCTGCCCAGGCTGGGTCACTGTCGCTAAAGCAGAGGAGTGCTTTTCCTGGGCCCGCGGGGCAGCTGTCGCATGCTCTGCTGAACACGGTGAGTACAAGCTTGCAAAACCGAAGGGAGTGGCTGGGTCGGAGTGGAGGAGTCTCAAGGGACCAGGGGGCCTGCCTGACAGCCGAAGGCAGGCTGGGGGCAGCCCCTGGGCAGGACCTGAGCTGCAGCTTCTAGAAAGGGCACCCCAAGGCTCTGGGCTCTCGGGATGGGGTCTGCCTGGAGTTTGTGGCCTTATCCACTGCCTCTTCCGCATCCTGCTTCCTTCAGCTTCCATCCCGCCCTTCCTGTCAGGCTGGCCAGCGGCTGCCGGCTCGGGGATTACTCTGAATTTAAAAAACTGGAGAAATCAGCAGTGTTTCCCTCAAAATCACCCTACTCCCTTCTTTCATGGGTGGGAAACCAAGGCCCAGAGAGGTGAAGGGATTTGCTCAGGCTGTGAATCCAGAAGTCTGTCATTTCCAAAGCTACTTTTTTCCCCACATTTTTAGGAGATGGAGAGTGACACTTGTCCATAGCAAATTATTAAAATATACTATTGCTAGCAAAAGAGGAAATAATATTAATAGTAATTAGGATACTCTTATTAAGTTGTATCTGGGGTGCTTTAGGGGTGTAAAGGAGAATGGTGAGGGGCCAGTGGCTAAAGCAGTGCCACTATTCACACCTACACCCACACACACACCCACACGCACGCATGCACACATGCACCGCCATAGGCAAGGACCAGGACGGGCTCCTGTCACCTGAAATTCTCTTTTCTCAGAAGGTGTTTCCCTGGGCCCGGGCAGGCCACACCCTAAGGGCAGACACTCCTTCACCAGGCTTGGAGGGCAGACAGGGAGACTGAAACAGCAGAAGGCTCTGGGGGGGCCAGGCTGAGCGCCCCCTGGGAACTTGAGCCTTCAGAAGGCTGGGGAATCATCCAGGAACCCTGCAACCCCTTTTTACAGATGAGAAAACCAAGACTCAGAGGGGAGAAGCAGCTGCCCCTGGCGGCACGGCTGGGAGGTGGCCGGGCCTGGATTGCGGTGGTCCCATCTGGCCACAGGACCCTCGTGGAACCCACAGAGACCTCAGGCCTCGGTCCCTCTGTCGCCTTTCTGAGCTGGAGCAGGGAGACGGCGGGGGTGGCCTCTGGCTGGAAGGAAGTAGGATTTTATAGGTCACACTGCTCGCCTCAGGACAAGGGAAAGATGAGGTGTTGCGGCAAGGAATAGTGACTTGATTCAGAGAGCCAGCAGACTATGAAGATGGCCCACTGTTGTCCCAAAGACCCATCTTATCCGAGTTAGAACTCAGAGTTTTACACTGAAAGGGGAGGGGGTGTGGCTGGTCGTTGCAAACTTCTTGGTGCCAAATCCTTTGTTCTCTCAGCTGTCTGCGTTGGTCTGGTCACCACGTTCCTATAAACCTCCAACAAGACCAGTGTTACTTTCTGTCCTGCACCATTTTCTGTCTCTATGGATGGAGAAGTGTTGCACCTTTAAAGGTCTAGCCTGGAGGCAGAGCCTTGAGAAAGGGCATTGTGTGTATTTCAGGCTCTAGGCGACATTCTTTGACAAAGGTGCAGAGCCAGCAGGACCGAGCCCAGACGACAGAGCCGAGTCATAGAGTCAGGACAGAGTCAGGCCTGTTCTCTGTTACAGGATGGCCGGGGTACATCTGTGCGCGCGCGCGCGCGTGTATGCTGGTCCATCTGTCTGTCTATGCAGGTATCCTCAGAAAACCATCAGTTGTGAAACTAAAACCAGGTACGAGGCTCCATGAATGCGTATGTGAGAGCACCTCACCTCCTCTGTACCAGGCCAGCAACGTCAGGTAGGATAAGTGAGAGCTGGGTATTTTTCAGAAGGAGAGGCAAACAAAACAAAACAAAACAAAACAACTTAGATGTCACTATGGTTTGTGTCCGTGTAAAAGGGTCACAGAACATTAAACACGGATTATCCGCAGTGTTACAATTTCATGGGGCGGGTGGTAAATAGGAGAGTAAAGTCTGAACAGGCTCCTTGATGGGTCTGGGGTACCTGATGAGAAGAGGCTGGGAAGCACAGGATGACAAATGTGAGGCCGGGAGCCTGCAGACGGCGCGTGCTGTGTGGTCATGTGCCGGCTGCCCTGCCTCGCTCGTGTGTCCACTCCTGAGACAGGCCTATAATGAGTCCCCCAGGATAGCAGGCCTGTGGGGGCCGAGGATCCAGTGGAGACTCTGCCCTCCAAAAGCGTGTGGTCTGGTGGCGGCCATGGGACAGCCACAGTGCCTGCGCCTCAGTGGACCAATATCACGACACCCACTAAGTGCCTGACTGTCTGCTCAGCCCCGGACGTGTTGCGTGAGCCACAAGACCTCTGTGGTTTCTGTCCTTTTAGTCTTCATGGAAGGAAATGAATGTTTAGAACATAAACACCTTAAAAAAAAAAAGGTTTAAACAACTGGAGCAGCTAATCATGCCTGGGCAATCTGGGAAGGCTTCCTGGAGGAGGCAGTGTTTGCTCTGGCTCCAGAGAATGGCCTGGCCTTGTTCACTGGTGATAGAGAGCTGTGACTGTGAGGTGGGTGCTGGAGCCAGACCACCCAAGTTCAGGTTCCTGCTCCATCTCTTACCGGCTGTGTAACTCCCAGTGCCAAGAGAGCTTCAGTTTCTCCATCTTTCGCGTGGGATTAATACGAGGAGGTTGTGGGGCCCGAGTGAGCTAGAACCTCATGCGTAGCTCTTAGAACTGTGCCCAGCACGTTGTCTACACTTGAGACACGTGATTCCCAAACCAGGGGAGGCCCAGGCTGTGTGTAGTGCCCAGGGCTTGGTTTCTCCCAGCCCCGGCTCTCTCTGACCAACAAGGCCAGAGGGGTATCAAAGCTGTCCCAGGGTTGGCAATTTTTCAGGGACGTGCAGAATGACAGTGACAACAGCTGGCTTTTACCGAGCGCTTCCTATGTGCTGAACACGCAACCTGGACCAGCTCACTTCAACCCTCAACAACCCCAGGAAGGGTGGGCACTACTAGGGTCTTGTGTTCTAGGCCAGGAACCGGTGGCTCAGAGAGGTGTATTCAGTTGCCCAAGGTCACCCAGCTGGTAAGCGACAGAGCTGGGACTGGATCTGGTTTGATACTGGATTTGATCCTGAGTTGGGGAGGCAGGGCCTGTCTCTTTCGGTCCCCTCGCCCGTGCACAGTAAAGCCGGTCTACCGACACGGCGTGGTGGTGGAGGAAAGTGCGGCCTGTATTTTCAGGCACCGGACGAGGAGTCCGGGGCAGCTGGTGCTCAAAAGGCCCGAACTCCCTGGTGAATTTCAGCAAAGCATTTTTAACGGCTGGTTGAGCCAGGGGCATCCCAGGGCCTGTGATCAGCTTGTGCACAATTCTTTGATTGGTTGATGGTAAGTTACCCAGGGCAATGCCACAGGGGTTAACATTGCCCATCTTTCTTGCATCTGGTCGGGGTTTTAGCATCTGGAAAGCAACTCAGGAAATGTGCTACCGTTATCTGCGTACTTCAGAGAGGGAGGAGCTACAGCAGAGGGTGTCAGGGGAGAGGTCTGTCCGGGGAAGGCCGCACAGGGTCCTGCTCGGTTCCATGTCCAGTCCACCAGGACTCAGACCTGCACTGGGATCTGGGAGGACATCTGGGCCTCCGATGGATCTGCTCATCGACTTGGAGCCTTCCCCTCTCTGGAGGCTGTCCAAGCCCCACCCTGAGATTCTCAGTCTTTCGGATCCTGATTCTAAGCTCTTGCACAATGGGACTCCTGAGATTCCAGGTTCCGAATGGGAGGTCCCAAGCTTTGTGGAATCTTCCCTGGGCATCCTTCCTCTGCATCCCGGGGGCAGCCGCCACCGCACCGTCTGCGGAGCTGGGGTGTGGCCTCGGGCTGCTCACACCTCTGCCCGGGTTTGTGGTGACAGACAGGAAATGCTAACCTGCTCGGTTAGGCCCCTCCTTCTCAGCCCCACCCGCTCCACTGCTGTGGTAACTCTTTTCCTGGAGGAGGGAGGAGGTGAAAGGCGGGGCCCGGAGGATGACTTCACCTCTCTGAGCCTTGCTTCCCTCATCAGTATAACGGAACCGTCCCAGCCAGTGCTGGAGTGGAGACGAAGCAGTCCTTCCCCTACGATGGAGAGATAATGAAACAATCCACCCCCAGCAGGGGCTCTATAATGCATCATTCGTTGCGGTGCAACACGTTTCTTGCAGCAGACATTAAAGTTGTAATCTACCTGCCCCACCCAGCGCTCGCCCTCCGCTGTGCTCCTTGTTACCTGTCTGGCTCCTTGGAGCCACGAGCCCTGTCATGTGGGCTGATGCCTGCCGAGCCGCAGCCTGGCTAGAGGCTGCTGGGTCCCTGGTCCCTTCCCCTCGAAGCCCCATGATACCACAGGCACCAGGCACCTGGATTGCCTGAGACTGATGGGGATGAGGATTTCCTGTGCTGACACTGGCTGTCCAGGCTGAGCTGGTCGCCCTAGACAGGCCCAGGCAGGGAGATCTGGGCTTTTCCAGTGGACTCTGTTATCATCTCCCAAAAAGGCAGGGAGGTCTCTGTTCTCACACAGGTCCCTGCAGCTTTCCTAACCGCCCATGGGGAAGGTTGGGAGCTCACCATCTCTGTAGTCTCTCGGTGAGTCAGAGACCTCCCTCTCCTCTTCTCTGTCCACAGCCTCCTGCTGGATGCCAGGCTCAGGGACCTTCCCTGCAGCATCTGCATCCGGTCTCATCTTTGAGACAGTATGGCCCATTTCACAGATGAGGAAACTGAGGCTCAGAGAAGGTGAAGGGACCCGCTTGGGTTACGCAGCAGCTAAGTGGTCTCTCCTCCACCCCAGGCTGCCTCTGTGTGCAGGGGACCATGGGGATGGGTGCAGGGGGAGGGCCCACCTGGGGGAACACAACCTGGCCCCCTCCACAGTACCTTCCCAGCCTTCCAGCAGCAGAAAGCCAGCCCCTGACTCGCCCAGATGCCTCCCAGACCCAGGAACTGGTGCACTGGGTCTTCTGTTTCTGTTCCTCCCTCTCTACTTCCAGAAAGTGGCTGAGGGATCTGCCTTCCAAAAACCGAGAACTGCCCAAGCTGGGGTGGCGGGTGTGAGTCCTTTCACAATTATGCAATAGTTCCCTGAGCTGGTGACTTCTTCCTAAATTTACCACCCCTAGGAAAGTGGGGCCAAGGTTCCCCCAAGTAGGAACACCATCCCCTGTGCACAGGTCTGCCTTCCGAAGGCAGGTTCAGAGACAGAGTGTGTTTGTATGTGTGCGTGCGTGTGTGTGTGACACATTTATTAAGCACCTACTGTGAGCCTGGAACTTTTGAATCCATCATCTCGTTACATTCTCCCCACAGCCCTATGAGATAGGTGCTATTTGTTGTTCCCATTTTACAGATGAGAAAACAGAGGCTCTGAAAGGCAAAGATCTGGGTCAAGGTCATCCCACTTGTAAGGGACAGAGCTGGGACTTGAACATCCTTTTGTTAGCCCCCACAATCTGTGCTCTCCACCCTGTGCCCCACATAGCAGAGGGGGCTGAACTTTCTGGGTGATGTGGACTTCTGGGTCCTCCTTACTCTTACTCTGCCCTTGCTCTCCCCAACCACAGCCACAAACCCAGCAAGTGAAGCTCTCTTCTAAGCCTTTCCTCCTTCTGCCCCCTCAGCTAGGTCAGGTCTCTCTGCAAAGCCTTCCTGAGTCCTCACTGGCTTTGAATCCCATCTCCGCCATTCAGCAGCTGTGTGTCTTTGGGCAAGTTGCTCCACCTTTCTGAGCTTCATCCCTCCTCTGTAAAATGAGAATAACTGTGAGAGCTGGATGGATCTGGTGCAAATAAAAAGTTTGGTTTAAGAGAGTGTTTTTAGATACGATCAGACTGGCATTTCAGAAACCAACATAATTCTAGCTAACATGTGAAAGGTTAGATTGAGTTTGGAAGCTGAGGGGTCTGTGAGGGGGTTATTTATAGTCAGTCAAGGGATGATGGGCAACTGCCCTCTGCTCCTAATTACATGAAATACAAGGGAAGGTACAGGAGATTATCCAGGCTCTGCCCCAGACACTGTGCCTGGAATTGCATACCGAAGGGATCTATGTCCTGGGAATCCAGGAATACCCGAATCCTGCCTCAGAACACGGCCATTGTCTACCACATGATTCTCAGATGCAAGGTTTCGAATTCCACAAACACCAGCCAGTGCCAGGGTGGGGTCGGGGGGGTGTGGAGTGTAAAGAGAGAGAGAAAACCAGAAGGCACGAATGTTCGCAAGGCCAAGAAGAAATGGACCAGCAAAGGGAGAGGCACTGCCCTTTCTGGCCTCCTGGTTGGGAGGCTGAGAGGTAATATGAGGCTGGACAGTGGCCCTCCCTACCCACAGGCAAACGAGATGACTGTCAGCTTGCTGAGGGCAGGGCTGTTCAGAAAAGATTTGAGTTTTCTCCTGGCCCCAAATAGTGTGGTTGATGGCTCTGGGCCCTTGAGGACTTACGGGATAGATTTGCTGAAAGAACCAGCATCGCTGCTCTTTGTTGGCGCTTGAGGTGGGAGCAGAGTGCTAAGGGTATCACCTCATTTTATCCTCACAGGAGCCTCAAGATAGGTGCTGTCATCCCCATGGGGCAAGCAGGGACCCAGCCAAAGGGAACTGGACCAAGCGGAAAAACCAAGAAAGGATTAGAGAACCGAGAATCTGGGGGACAGGCTGGGGCTGTGTGGGGTGGGAGCAAAGATGGGGAAAGTGCAACAGAGGGACGTGGAGGGAGGACTCAGCCTCGGCTCTAAGAGGCCTCGAAGGTCCCAATGAACAGCTTTATCCTGTGGCCCTGCAGCCTCCCAACTCTTGCTCGTGGACCTCACTGGTGGATAATATATGTAGATCCATCTGTTTATGACTTGTCTACAGGTGCCACTGTTCTCATGGCATATTATACACATATACAACAGTAGAAATTAAGAAGAAATGACATGAAAGTTAATACAATGAGACGATCTAACATTTTCCTTCTACATTCCAGTAGATGGTCTCGCCCACAAATGAAAGGTTTTAATCAGAAAGGATAAGGAGGCAAATATAGTTTCTACACGCTATATAGAGGGAGTTGAAGCCCCACCCCCACCCCGATGGATTCCGTGATATTGATAAGTAATATTAGCTGCTGTTTGCTGAGGGTCCACTGTGCACTGGGCACGTACTGGGTCAGGAGGGTACCCTGGACCAGATGTGCTCCCAGTGTGGCCATCCAGGGTCACGGTCGAGGGTGCTTGGCAGGCGCAGGGGTGCAGCCGTCCTGATGTCGCTCTGTCCATGTCCCCCTCCAGGTGCCATGTTTCTGCAACTCCTCCTGCTGCTGACCCCGCTGGGCCCTGGGCGCAGCCTCCAGCTAATCACCCACGCACAGATCGCGTGGGACGACGACGAGTCTGACTATTATTCATATGGCACAGACATTCCAGGAATGCTTGAAAACAGCACTGAGGACCCATCCCTGAGCCTCAAGCTTCTGAATGTGACGGGAACATCAGGACAGAGAGATTTTGCAGGGCCTGAAACATCTGAGTCTGCCACTCTGGGGGTGGCCACAAGGGACTCTGGTGTCCTGTATGCACGTGGGGCAGCCACTGGGATTCTGAGCACAGAACTGGCCACGCAGGGAATTCTCATCACACTGGGCCCTCATCACACAGAACCCCTCACTGTAACCCCTCCCATCACAGAGGGTCCATCCACAGAAGGAGTGCCATCCACAGAGTTGGCCACAGTGCAGGCCCTGTCCACAGGGCCTGCAGGCACATTGGCACCAACCACAGAACCTGCAGCCACTGAGGCTCTGTCCATGGGGCTGGCAAGTACGGTGGCCCTGACCACAGAACCTGCAGCCACTGAGGCTCTGTCCACGGGGCTGGCAAGTACGGTGGCCCTGACCACAGAACCTGCAGCCACTGAGGCTCTGACCACAGGGCCGGCAAGTACGATGACACCGACCACAGAACCTGCAGCCACTGAGGCTCTGACCACAGGGCTGGCAAGTACAGTGGCACCGACCACAGAACCTGCAGCCACCGAGGCTCTGTCCACGGGGCCGGCAAGTACAGTGGCACTGACCACAGAACCTGCAGCCACCGAGGCTCTGTCCACGGGGCCGGCAAGTACGATGACACTGACCACAGAACCTGCAGCCACCGAGGCTCTGTCCACGGGGCCGGCAAGTACGATGACACCGACCACAGAACCTGCAGCCACGGAGGCCCAGTCCACGGAGGCCCTGTCCACAGAATCCACTTCCACTGAGGCCCTGACCACAGAACACATAGTCGTAAAGTCTCTGTCCAGAGCACCAACTGTGAGCCCCAGTCCCACAGAGGGCCTGCTGGACCACAACCCAGTGAAGCAGTGCCTGCTGGCCATCCTCATCCTGGCCCTGGTGGCCACCATCTTCCTCGTGTGCACCGTGGTGCTGGCCATCCGCCTCTCCCGCAAGAACCACACATACCCTGTGCGCAACTACTCCCCTACCGAGATGGTCTGCATCTCGTCCCTGCTGCCTGAGGGGGCCGAGGGGCCCACTGCCACGGCCAATGGGGGCCTGTCCAAGGCCAAGAGCCAGGACCTGAAGGCGGAGACTGGGGAGGACCGCGAGGGGGATGACCTCACCCTCCGCAGCTTCCTCCCTTAGCCGCCTGGGCTCCATGTTCCCCTCCTACCCCAATCCCCCTGGAGGTGGGGATCTTTAGGACAGGAACCCTGGCCGCCCTCCACAGGCCTGAGAGCAGCCGAAGTCCAGGAATCCAAGTGAGACTGGCAAACAGAACCTCCAGTGGAGAGTGGAGATGCCCCTCCACCTCTCTGTCTCCTGTCTGTTCTGGAATCCCTCTGATGGCCTCCTTCCGATGGCCTCCCACCCCTGTCCTCCCCCTCCCCCAACCCAGGAAGACTCAGAGTTCCCTGCCCCCACCCCCACCACCATTCTCTTTTGGTTGCCATGATCACCCCCCAGGAAGGGGGCATTTTGGGGAGGAGAGCTTCCATCTGGTGCCAGAGTTACCCCCATCCTGCCCTCCCTCGACTTCCCCTATGGCCACGTTTCAGGATGGCATCTATCTTTCATGGACATCTCCCCCCGCCCAGCGCCGGGGCCGGGAACAGCATAGATCCTCAATAAATGTTCGGTGCACGGATAATGGCTGAGTAAATCCTTCAGGGCATTTCTTCAGAGGAGAGATTGGGGCAAGGCAAGAGGGGGCGGGACAGGCAGCAGGGTCATGGGGACAGAGCCAGGGAGAAGTGTAGGAATGCCTCCTCCTTCCCCCTGACCCTCTAGAACAAGGGTGACACCCAGGAAGATGTGTTCAGGGTGCTTTGATGGGGGCGCTGGTGGGAGCTGGGCATCCGCCGTGGGCTGGGGCAGTGGACCCTGGAGAAGGCCAGCTCCTGGGGGGAGCAACAGGGGTTCACTTCCTCTTTGGCAGTGATCAGAAAAGCCAGCTGGGGAGCTTATCACTGGGTTAGGGAGCCAAGGGCTGAAGGACTTGGAGGACATTTGAGCCGTCCCTCCAGGGTCTTGTTACCCTCTCTGTATGGGCAGGGATCAGGTCTCCACACTCCCCCAAGGGCCTCCAGAGCCCCTCTGCTCCGGGATGCTGTGTGTGCGGGCACAGCTCTCTACTGGAAGTGGGCCACCCCTCTGTAGCCCTCTCTCCAAAGTGCAGGATTCAAGTCAGCAGCGGGGATGGTGGGTGCTCCAAGCAGCCACCATGGGGCGCCCGCCACCAGCTCTTGGAGCAGCTGGCAGCCTGGCGCTTCCGTCCGTCCAGTCTTGGGATGAGGGAGGGACGGTTCAGCCACGATTGCTCCCCAAGCCCACAGCGGTGCTGGTGTATAGTTGACAACTGGCCTCTTGCGTGGACTAGCGCCCAAGGGGTGATTTGTATAGCTTGCCAATTTCCCTGCTGTAAATATTCCCATGGCCGATTTTGAGCAACCAACCATTTATCTGTAGATGTTCCAGAAATGCAAATAATGCCAACAGCGTAGTTAATAGTAGGATGTAGTGAAATCACAAGGAACTGTTGAGTTTTGAGTATCGAGGGCCTTGGTTTTTAATATAACATAATTTAACTTTACGGAACAATTGACACACAACATTCTGAAAATTTGACAGTTGGCTCTCGGAGGCTGGTGTAGGCTGGTTCCTGCATCCCACTGTGCCCTGCCCCTGCATGGACCTCCCCTCGCCCGTGAGCATCACCCCCTGGCTGGCCTGTCTCCACTGGGCACGAATACCTGCCACGTCTCCATGGATCCCCTCAAATGGCCTAGGAAGGAGGAACTAGGACTCTCCCCATTTTACAGAAGAGGAAACTGAGGGTCAGAGAGGTGAAGTCACTTGTCCCGGGTCAGGCCTGAGGATCTGAGATTGGAATCCAGGCCTGAATCTGAAAGCCACGTTCTTACTAATATGTCACGCTGTCCTTAAGATCACAGCGGGGTTTTGGGGGAACCCCATGCCCCTAATTCCCACCACTGCTGACCTGCCCTGGTGTTTGGAAGTCCCCCATCAGCCACCCTTTGTGGCTTCTGGTTGCTGAGGGAAGGCATTGGCACTTGAGAGGGTGAGAAAGTCGAACCCAGCTCCTTCCTTGCAGAGAGTGGGACACAGCAGAGCTGGGGCCCAGGACAGACAGGGGTGGCTGAGAACAAGGAGCTGGCATTTACTGGGTGCTCAGTGCATGCTCAGCCCCCTGCCAAACACTTTATCTGCCTAATCTCATTCCAGCCTCATGACAACGGATGTGGGGACATTGATTATCCCATTTTACTGCTGGGGACACTGACGTTCGGAAGGCTGGACTGGCGTCTCCAGCAGGTCGCACTGCTAAGAAACCAGACTCTGCTGACTTCAGCTCTGGCGGCAGGGAAGGAAGGAGGGTAGACAGGAAATGGGGGGCAGGGGGTGGCATGCTAAGTTTACCCTGGTCCCTTGTCCCTTTGGAGGGGGGCCACCAGCCTTGCGGGTGTTTCATCCGGCAGCTGATCTGGGCAGCTGGAGGCTCCCCAAATCCTCCCCCCCTATATTCCACCCCCATCTGCCCCTCTGCCAATTCATATAACTCCGTGCCGGGTGGCGTGCTAGGTCCTGGAAATCCACCTGAGCTGGACAGGCCTGGTGATGCCCTTCGGGGCTCATGGTCTAGAGGGAGAGAGAGGTGAATCGAATGATCACACAGAAAAATATCAGATTATGGCTGGGCCCAGAGCCCCAGAGGAGTGGTGCTCCGGGGTTGGGGAGGGCAGGCTCTGAGCATGCAGAGGGCGGCCAGGCTGTGGGGGTGGGATGGGGAGGAGTCAGGAAAGGGTCTGAGACTTGAAAGATGAATCTATTGACTTGAGAGGGTGGGTGTAGAGAGAAAAATTGCCCCAGCCATTGAGAACAGCGTGGAGAACGGAGTGCTGGGGGTACGTTGCATATTGCCCAGGCACTGAGGACCAACAAGAGGACCATTCACCTTAATGAGAGCAAGAGAATAGTGGCAGCCCCATCCTGTGTACTGACCATGCCTTCACCTTCTGCTAAGCTCGCTGCCTGCATTTTCCCATTTATCCTCATGCCGTGACATAGGTTCCATTTGTAACCCCATTTTACAGATGAGCACATTGAGGCTCAGTGAGGTTCAGTGACTTGTCTAAGGCCACACAGCGTGAAAAATCACAGATCTGGGATTTTTAAATTCTTAAGGCTTTCTGGGGACACCAGCCACCAGAGACTGGCTCCTTGAGGAGGGGCTGGGAACTCCCCAAATCTCCAAGGCTCAGAGCCACACCCTTGGCCTGACTTCCTATTAACAATAGAGTCTTTCCTGGAGGCTGCTCTGTGTCCACGCCATCCCCCACTGGATGGGAGGCAGCCCCTGGGCCCTGCCCATCCTTGATGCCCATATAGTGCTGGAGGCTGGGGAGGAGGTGGTACCAGAGGGTGCTGTGGGGGCAGGGGTATCACCTAATTTCTGGACTCAACTGTGGGACCTCTCTCCCGGGTCCTGATTTTCCCTTCTGTAAAGTGGGAATATCTGTATTAACTCCCTGCTGTAGGGATAGCTCCAAAGGGTAGAAAGCAGATCTAAGGTGGGGAGGCTCGCGGATGATGTGGTGGGCGGTGAGGCACCCACCAGGTACCATAAGATGGCAGCTTGGGAGAGAGAGAAGGCCTGGGTAGGGCTGTGGGGACGTCTGCTCAGAGGTGGGACCTGAAGCCCTGGGTAGGGATGGGACTTCCCAGAAGAGGGAGTGCAAGTGGTTTCCAATGTAGAGGCAAAGATGCTCTCAGTCCCCAAAAGGTGGGCATCTTCACACCCATGGAGGGAGAAGACATGACAAATGGGTCCTGTGTGAACGGCCCTTTCCAGTGCATTCCACCAGATGTAGCTCAGCTGCATCTAGAGACGGTTAACAAAGGATCAGACCCCTGTGGGGGATGTGTTGGGTGATTTCAGGGTCCAAACGTGATGGGTTTGGAGGCCATGAGTGCTGCCCACCTGCTCTGCCCGCCCCCAGCGGTAGAGATGGGCAGAGTCCCCACTGCTGGGCTCTTGGGGGCACCGTCCGCTCAGCTCAGTCTCTCCCTCTGTACTCACTCCACACGCGGTCCCCACACATGGGAGGGTGCGTGCTCACAGGCAGGAATTGTGGCTCAGCCCCTAGTCCGATCCTGGCAGAGAGCAGGTGACTGGGAAATGCTTGCGGAAGGTTCCACCAGCTGGAAGCAGGTAAAGAAGAGTAAGGCGGCCCCAGTTGTCTGATCAACAGAATGTCATTCAGCACCTGAAGACGATGTTTTTGAGCAGGAACGTGGGAAGATGCCCATGATGTAATGTTCAGTGGACGCTGAGCCTCAGTTTCCTCCTCTGTGGAATGGGATAATGGTCGCATCGCATCATAGGGGTGACAAAAGGCTTCAGGAGACAAGGTACAGAAAGCATGGAGCCCCGTGCCTGGCCCAGGGTTAGCGCTCAGTCAATCGTAGCTGTGGGATTGTCAAATGTAGGGAAAAAAAAATGGAGGGACATACACCAGATTGTTCAGAGAGATTAGCCACTGAGGATGGAATTATAGGTGAATTTTATTTGCTTCCTTCAACTTTCCTGTGTTTAACTAGTATTTTTCAGTGGACAGAACAAAACCGTAAGTGTTAGGAAGTCCCAGGCCTTTGCAGGTGGTGAGTAAAACATTGTCCTTTTAACTGCTAACATTCACACAGGAAGCCTCCCAGCCAGCGGTCCTCACCTGGGGGTGACTTTGCCCCCCAGGGGACATCTGGCAATGTCAGGAGGTACTTTTGATTGTCAGTACTTAAGGGAGCATGGCTGGCATCTGGCAGGTGGTCAGGAACCCTGCTAACCATCCTGCAGAGAGCAGGACAGCCCCCGTCCTCCCCGCCAGCCCCAGCAAAGAAGTGTCTGGTCCAAACATCTGTGGTGCCGAGATGGAGAAACCTTGCTTTTCCCCGTCAGCAGTGAGAGAGCCATGGAGCTCCCCTTCTGAGAGGTGTTCGGAAACCCAGAGGGGCCTCTGTGTGGTGTGAACTTGGTTGTCAAGCGTCCTGCTGGGGGCTGGAAGGCTAAAGCCGTAGCTGCCCTGCCTTTTGCCCCCCGGGGGCCCGCAGGGCTGGCGCCCCAGTGCTTGGCAGAACAAGGCTGCTGTCCCCGAGCTGTGCAGGGGGACAGCCCTGGAGCTGCTTTTCCCAGCAAAGGAGAGAGGAATGGGCTCTGGGCAGGAGACGGGACATCAAAGGGGCGAAGACACAGTTCTTTTTCCAGGTATGTGAACACTGCGGGGGGAGCATGGTCCGCGTCTGCCTCAGCACTGCTTCTGGGCTGCCCCCTACCCGGGGGCAGTCCTTCCAGGAGACCTTGTTCTTCTGCCTCGTGTCTGGCCTCCGGGCCCCCTAGAGGGACAGGTGTCAAGTGATTTCCCCCAGAGTTTCAGTGGCTCGTCAGCAAATCGCTGAATACAAATGCAGGACAGTGGGGTCCCCTAATCCCACCGACTGAAGCTTCTGGAACCCCTGCCTTGCTTAGATCCCCATCCCACCTCTTGACAAACATGTTGGTTGGATGAGTGCAGGACAGCTCCTGTGACCTCTCACTCTCGCTCTGCTCTGGCCCCATGAGCCTTCGTGCTCTTT